ACATTACCTGATGGTAGTTTACTTGGGTTTATTACGACAGATTTCAATAGGACTGAACAATGGTCGTATTATTGGTATTAAAGAAGAAAGAGCCAATGTTTAAACACATTGCCTGATGGTAGTTTACTTGGGTTTATTACGACAGATTTCAATAGGACTGAACAATGGTCGTATTATTGGTATTAAAGAAGAAAGAGCCAATGTTTAAACACATTACCTGATGGTAGTTTACTTGGGTTTATTACGACAGATTTCAATAGGACTGAACAATGGTCGTATTATTGGTATTAAAGAAGAAAGAGCCAATGTTTAAACACATTACCTGATGGTAGTTTACTTGGGTTTATTACGACAGATTTCAATAAGACTGAACAATGGTCGTATTATTGGTATTAAAGAAGAAAGAGCCAATGTTTAAACACATTACCTGATGGTAGTTTACTTGGGTTTATTACGACAGATTTCAATAGGACTGAACAATGGTCGTATTATTGGTATTAAAGAAGAAAGAGCCAATGTTTAAACACATTACCTGATGGTAGTTTACTTGGGTTTATTACGACAGATAACACATTACCTGATGGTAGTTTACTTGGGTTTATTACGACAGATTTCAATAAGACTGAACAATGGTTCGTATTATTGGTATTAAAGAAGTACAAGTAATCATTTATAAAAAAATTAATTACCAAGTAAGCAAGTAGCACGTAAAATAGAAAATTCACAAAAATGTAACAGGTTTCTCCAATAAAAAAACTAATTAATGAGGTCACAAAAGATGTTACAGGTTCTCCAATAAAAATCTAGTAAATAAGGTCACAAAAGATGTTACAGGTTCTCCAATAAAAATCTAATTAATAAAGTCACAAAAGATATTACAGGTTCTACAATAAAAATCTAATTAATAAGGTCACAAAAGATGTTACAGGTTTCTCCAATAAAAAACTAATTAATAAGCAACAAAACCAGGAGATATAATATTATTCGAAAACTATCTACAAAGTATGCAAACTGATTAGTTTATTTGGTTGTGACCCTTCTAGGACTTATTAACTGGAACTTTTACTCAACAAGTCTTTATTTATACAAGAGTACTCCTCAACCGGCCTCCTGGAGTTCCGCAGGGTTCTGTGAATTGCAGAAGTTCACATATTCTAATGTGTAAATACATATCAGTCACACAATTGTAATGTGTAAATACATATTAGCCACACAATTGTAATCTAACTACACCACATTTCTATATTAGTGTAAAAGGTTTTGTAACAACACAAGTCCCTGAATTGTTTTGAATTACTGAGTAAGACTAGGTACAAAGAAGTGCTTGAGTCATGTAAACTTTTATTATTTGAGAGAACACGCTTCTTGTTATGTACGTGTAAGTGCCTGAGTAATTGGATCAAGAAATTTTTCATGTTTTGTACATATGTTTATAGGTATATTATGTTTATGGGTATAATTATGTTTATGGGTATAATTATGTTTATGTTTCATACGTATGTTTATAGGTATATTATGTTTATGGGTATAATTATGTTTATGTTTTGTAAGTATGTTTATGGGTATAAAGCTGAATTAAACATACTTACTCTATTATGTGGAATTATTGATATAGTATTGCAATAAGTTTTTTGTAATGAATGCTGTGAAGGTTTGTGTGAGACACCAGAAGAGTTTTGTGGATTCTAAAAAGTTGAGAACAACTGGTATACAAGAACAAACTTTGTCACATTTGGCTTTATGTATTATCTTAAAAACAAGCTGTTTTAATTAGCCTATCGTACCTGGTTTCTTTTCTTCAGTAATAATCTGAGTCGACAGGGGAACCGTCTTGATATCAAACGGAGCCTCTGATGGTTCCAGTGTGTAATGATGAAGAGCCTTTTCCAAACCAACAATAGACACCTGCAAGTCTGTACAAGAATAAAAACAGAATTTAATTTCAATAATACACACACATATAAAATACTGCAACTGTAGCTAAATCTCTGCTACTGCTACATATATCAAAATTACAAATGATACCATTTCCAATTCCAGGGCTTCATTATCCTGAAACCTGATTCTTGGAAAAAAAAAAGTTTTACAATATTACCATCACTTGTGTTTTAAACAGTTTAATGATCTCAAAATAAAAGTTACATGTTGAAAGTATGCTAATTAAGTTTGACTGTTAAAACCTGCGACATCTGAGTAACGGAAGGAAGACAGGAAATGTCGCATGGCTCGGTCAGTGAGCTACTCATGTTTGTATCTGAACATTTACTGCACTACATGATGAGCTTGCATGATTAAATTTCGTAACAACAATGAAAACATGGGGTTTTTCATCAGATTTTATAACATGATTTATACAATAATAAGGCAAGATAATGGGTGAGAATAACTTTTAACATGCAAGCACTATTTATTGAAAAATAAGTTTATTGATTTTCTCCAGTGTATACAGCACATGAATTCAATAACTTGTAATGATGTTAGAGAAATGGTTATTTTTCTTGTCAGCGAATCAAATAACAGCTAGGATCTGCCATGCCCTTTGTGCATGGAACATCGTGGGTGCACCGGCTGCTCTTAGAACACGGAGCTATGCTCAAGCCTGGCTTTATTTAGTCATAATGTTGTTGATATATAAGGCTTGGTTTGTTCCAAGAAAGCAGATGGTAAACAGATTTAGTATGCCTACTTTAGATTTTAGAAACAACTTGGACAGTTTTAAGCCCAATGTTTGGTATTATGCAACCTTTGAACTTGCATTAAGAAATTAACAACTCAAAAAAAGTTCATGTATCTGAAAACCAAACACTTCAAAATCACTACCTAACACAGCTGGTTACTACACTGTTTTGTACGAACCACATAACTGTTGACCAGTTTTAACTCGTAAGTGCACGTTTGGTCCATTCAATCAATCCCATATTGGAGAAGGAAATAATAATACCAAATTAATGAACTAACCAAAATGTTAGTAAAATGTACAAGTCCACTGTAAACAGATGTTACAAAAGTACTTTTACTCAAGATATGTCTGTGAACTGAGAACATCAATCTCACTCAGACTCTGATAAGTCTGAGTGCAAGGTGGTGTTCAGTTGAAGAATATGAGCACTTTTGTCTATTGCACAGTTGTAATACATATCTATGGTTTTTGTTTTCAATATCCCTGTACACTGTACCTGTTATTTACTATTCTCAAGTCCTTGTAAACTAAAAAAAAAAATTAACTGCTAATACAATTAGTTTGGTAAAATAAACCCAGAGGGAGACTCAATAACTTAACTCAATACCTTTCTGTGGCTTACAAATAATAAAATACAACAATTAAATGACAATAAAAAAGTCCCACTTTGTTCTATATTTTCAATGTTAGTATTAGTACTTGTCACTAATATCTACTCCACAATTCACAGTCTCTTTAGTACTTGTCACTAATATCTACTTCACTATACACAGTCTCTTTAGTACTTGTCACTAATATCTACTTCACTATACACAGTCTCTTTAGTACTTGTTACTAATATCTACTTCACTATTCAGTCTCTTTAGTACTTGTCACAAATATCTACTTCACTATACGCAGTCTCTTTAGTACTTGTCACAAATATCTACTTCACTATTCAGTCTCTTTAGTACTTGTCACTAATATCTACTTCACTATTCAGTCTCTTTAGTACTTGTTACTAATATCTACTTCACTATTCACAGTCTCTTTAGTACTTGTTACTAATATCTACTCCACTATTCACAGTCTCTTTTGTACTTGTAACTAATATCTACTCCACTATACACAGTCTCTTTAGTACTTGTCACTAATACCTACTTCACTATTCACAGTCTCTTTTGTACTTGTAACTAATATCTACTCCACTAT